TAGTCAATGATTTTGGTGCATATTAGTCGACTAATTTGTCGTGTTTCGTGAGGTGACCTAACCCGCGCCCCACTGGGGTCGCCGGCCGAACGCGCTCGGCTGGAGGGGGTAAATTTTACCCCCTCCCCCTGTTATCTCCCGAACCAGGCGTCGTAGTGGCCGACAAGATATCTTGCGCTGGCTTCGCATCGCGGTGGCCATGAAATAATAAGGGATAAAATTTGGGATCGATTGGTGTTCTTCCAGTGTCGATCAGACGTCTAGAAGTTTAGATATTCGCGAAAAAACTTGCTTTGCTTGTAAATTCCGAAATTTAGTCAAATATTAGTCAAAATCGAGAAAAATGGCGTTAGTCATTCATTAGTCAGTCAAGCTTTTTGAGACGACAGATTAGTCAGTCAAAAGTCAGTCAACCAAAATCGTCATTAGTCATTAGTCAGTCATTAGTCAAGATTTTGGAAAACGTTAGTCATTTCCACCTTTACTCACAAGAACCCAGCGCGTTCGGGCGGTGCCCGGCGGGTTGCCGGCTGGTGATATACCCCTATGCAGCAATGCAGTCACCTCGCGGCACAGCCCGCGCCACACGGCAGCTCGGGGCTCAGAAAGGCACGGTCCCGCGGACCGTAAATACCACACGCCGGGCGGAGATCGGGTCCGCAGAAACGCGCTCCTCTGAGGTTCCTGCATTCTCCTGACCGCGCGCTAGGAGATGTTCTGTTCACATGCACGTGATGTTTAAACTTCACGTGAAGGTGATAGCCTGGTTTTCTGGCGGTCTCACTGGCTGGTCTGGTTCGCAGGACGCACGGAGCGGGCCCGTTTCTGCGAGCCGTGCCGGGGGCGGTGCACGGCCCAGCCTGCGTTCGCTGTCCGGGCGGCGCGCCGAATTTCTCTCCGCGCCCGGCCTTACGCTGCCGGCCGCCGTAAAATACTTTACGAGTGGCCGCGATGAGCGTCAATGTGTGGCCGCGATGACCATCAATGTGTGCAAGCCGGCAAATGGGGCGGTTCGAGACCGAAGGAGGAGGAGAGGGAGAGGAGTCTCGGCCGCCGCCGTCGCCGTCGTCGTGTCGTCAGTCCACACACAATGGGGCGGCTCAGACGGCGTGAAGTGCCGCCGCCGTCGGGAACTTGAAATGATGAAGGTCGGCTCGGCCCAGACTACTAGAGCGCCGCTAAACGAGGGAACGTCGCGCTGACCGACCGCGCTGGAGGAGTACTTAGTTAAGTGAAGAACTCTATTAATCTTGACGGCTGACAGTTGACACTCAGTCTCGGCAGAGGTCAGCTCAGTTTGGTCGGGTACCGACTCAGACGCATAACTGGGACAGTACGAACTGCGAGACCCATGCAATCGACGCCTTTTGAGTACGGCACTCTGACGCATCACGGGTGTTGCCGAGGCCGCCACTTGGAAGGATCAAAGTCTAGGAGCTGCTGGCTTGAGTAGTGACTCACTTACTCCACCCAGCGTGCTGCCACCCGATCTGTTAGATATGTGCAGTCTGTTGACTGAGCTCGGTCCGTACAAGGAATGGTCGCGGGGCGGGCTGAGGTCGGGAGGCTCCGGTAGTTGGGAGCAGGACCGGTGTAGGCTCGCCTGTCTGCCGGAGCCCATACCGGTCCACTCTGACCGCCCAGACTGCCACAGCCGCAGGCGGCGGCCAGTCGAGAAGCTGCATAAAGCTGTCAGCACCATAATGCCTGTCATTATCGATACCAACACTTCAGCGCGAGCCATTGCCGGGTGAAAAACTCGGCCTGAGCTCATTAGGCTGGCATTCGGCGGCCTGCAGCGCGCGTCGCGCCGCGTGCCGCCGGGCCGCGCCCGCTCGGCGGCATCTGCGACCGGTTCTCCCCAGTCCCCGATACACCCTGCGACCGGCCGACTGGGTGTGTCTGGCCGACCCCTCTGCACCCGCGACGCTCCGCCGACGGGCCGCGCCGGCCGGCCGGCCGGCCTATGAGCGATGTCGCTGTTCACGGCTCATTACGCTGTAACGGATCAGTCTGCAGACCTGCACCGCCCCCATTATGTCGCTGTCCGACGCTGAATTCGTTGCCATTTAAACATGGCCCGACTCTGTTGCTATACAGTGGTAGTTGATATTTTATTCATGTCTGACTGGTGTGTCTTTCCCTGTCGCCTTGGGTCGAAACCGACCGGAGGGGCTGGACCGTTTCTTTTTCGGGTCCGTGCTGACCCGGCCCGGGACAAATAGCCCCCGTCCGCGACGGCTGGCTACTCATCGCGGCGAGTGGTGTGCCGGCCACACGACGGGGGCGGAGGACTCTTCTGGACCGTCTGGACTCGTCTGGAGCACTGGGTGATCGGAGAGTACCGCCAAGTGTTCAGAATGGACCTTTAGACAGTCAAAGGGTACTGAAGAGCTTTAGCATCGATTGAAGACGGCCAGAGGGTACTGCCAGCCTGTTAGAGGGTACTGTGAGAGAGTCAGAGGGCTTCGGAATTCGGAGATGCCGCCAGACGGTCAAACAGATGAAGAACTCATCAACTGGATAGACGCCGGTACCCGGGATGATTAGAAGGCGTAGTCAGACAGTCAAAGGTATCATCGAGACTGTCAACAAATATGCTTGCAAACTGACTCAGCAATGGAAATTACATACCAAATCCGACATGAACATTGTAATGAGCTTACTCTTGAATACCGGGGACCGGCTCATCGGGCAGCTTTGCATGCTAATGCATTGTATTTGTAAATAGCTTGTCGACAGACAAACAAGATTAAGGTGTAACAGCTTTAACGTGACAATTGCTTTTAAAGGTCACGCCTGTCAAGTGAAGGCTTGTGCCGTCGGCTGTCAGTCGAGCCCGCGCGTCCATCAGACAACAATCGGCTGGAAGTGACGGTGACCGATGTGACCGGCCGGGCCGAGGACGGAGCACTCACCGGGTGGAGCAGACGGCCAGATTCCGTCTGCCGACGTGATGGGGTGTTCTGTTCAGATAGCTGGGGCGGTGACGGTAATGGTGATGCTGGTAACGGTGACGGTGATAGTTACGAGACGAGCGCCGGCCCGTGCCGCGGCGCGCTCTAACTGCCGCGGCGGCGCAGCTCCACGCCGCTGTTTGTCTGCAGTGTGCACGCCGCGGCTGGGCGGATGGCCACCGGGCCAGGGCGGGCCGCCGCCGACCATCGCCGACAAGTGCGCTGGCCCGCCCTCACCAGCCGACCCGCCCTGTGTCGGCCGACGCCGCGCGATCCCTGTAATGAAAAGGCGACACGCCGCCGCCAACCGGTCTCGGCGCGCGCGCTGAGAGAGGTGTACCAGCCAGGTGCTCTGCGTGGCACAGCTCGCGGCGCGCGGCACCCTTTGAAGGCGGCGTGGCGGCTGTGTTTGCCCCGCTGCAGCCACCGGCCAGGGGCGGCCGCGACACCGTCACTGCCGGCGAGCCAACATGGTCCGGCCGTCCGACCGGCCAGGGCGGGCGGCGCGCTTCGACAAATCAGAGACTCACGGCGACACTGCCGCGCTTGTCAATGGCCCTATATGACGCTGATAGGGGGAAACACGTCTCCCGGTAAATGCCCTGAATGTGATTGTGAATGTCGATAGCCGTTAAGTAGGTAGGCTGTTAGCTGGTAGAGGTTTGTGTCCACCCTCGCGCTCTGGGTGACCTGTCAAGTTAGCACTTTGAGTCGAGCTATCAAGGTGGAGTGTTCTGACCCGTTTTTGTGGGTTGGGGTCAATCAGTTTACACACCCTGGCCTGTTCGGTGACCCGATTGTGGATAGCTCGTTTTCGCCTCTTTCTGGTGGCCTGAGCTTTGGGTCGCCAGCGGCCGGTCACGGCAGTCGGCGGCTCGGCTTCCGTGAACGGTTTCGGCAGTGGCGCCGGTTCCCCGAATTTGGGCCGTTAGCCGTCGGTCGGCCGGGCCGCCGCCGTCGGCTGGGCGGCTTCAGCAGAGGAGCGCCGTCTTCCAGATCGCCCCCCCCCCTCCCGGACCCCTCCCCGGCCCCCCGGCCCCCGGCCCGGGCCGGGCTGGCGGCGGTCGAAGGACCGGGCCAACGCTGCCGAATCTAACGGCCAGTTGGGAGCGGCGGCCGGCGGCGACTGCCCAGCCGGCGCCGCCGACAACAGCGGAGAGAGGGGAGAGATGTAGGGGAGAGAGCAGAAGGGAGAGGAGGGAGGAGATGCTAAACGAGGAGGAAGCTGCCGAAACTGGTTGGAGGTAGACGCTGACATGGCGTCCGTTACTGCCTCAGGTCATGTGTGTGGAAGACCGACGGCTCCGGGGACTCTCACCCGCCATCGGTACCCTTGTCAGATATGTCAGCAATAGGACACCACTTTATGGCCTGTGGATTGCTTACGCAGAATGCACACCGGTACGCGAGCGTTGCATAACGGTAACGATGAGATGGACTTTTTCCGGAGAAAGAACCTATGCTAATAAGCGTAATCCATGATGGTAGGTTATGGGGAGGGAGGGGGATTTGCGACAGGGGCGCACTGAACATTGCACACTGCACACTGCACAGATTATCATCACACCTCGCGCAGGTGGTAGTGCTTCTTGCAGAGAGTGACAACAACCGGCACGGAATGCTGATGATGTTGAGGCTTACCGAACCGAGTCGAACACGTGCTCGACTGAGGTTGAAAAATGTCACATGCACTCCGCCCGACACCGACGTAGTTTGCATAACTTCTTGGGAACCGATCTATCGTTTGGTTCGGCAAACTGTGCAGGAGTTTCCCGGGAAGGTCTGCATGTTTTCGAGCTTATCGAGAACATTCTGCAAGCTAGTTTTGTTCTGGGTGCAGCAAGAGTGAGGGGAACAAAACTGTCTTGGGGATTCCCTTAGTGTAAAACAATGACATTGCACTAATGGCTTGACCTGACCACAGTTAATAATATACACATTTGCTATGATTGACATTCTACGTTGTCGTTATTTGCACGCTGTTGACCCAGTCCCTGCCCTGACCTTTGACGTCTGACCTGTCGCGCCCGTCCCGGCACTCACCTGGCCGAGCCATGGCGATAATCTCTGACGTCCTCGCCTTGCCGTCCTCAAAGTCGTCGGCAGACTGCTGCTGGCCGCTGGGCGGCTGGGTGGTGCGCGCCCGCTCCAGCGTGCTGAACAGCACCTCGCGCGGCACGCTCTCGGTAATGTTGGGCGGCCGGTCGTGCAGACCGAGCTTGTATAAAATGTCCCTCTGGATGATGTCGAGCCGCAGCTGGTCGAGCCGGCTGCGCTCCAGGCGCGTGTGGGGCGCGCGGCCGCAGTCAGGGCACTCGGCGCCGCCGGGCCGCGCCAGCACGCTCATCGCCAGCAGCAGCACGGGCGTGGTGTGCATGTCCGGCCGCGCGACGGGCACGCTCAGCACATGCCGGCCGGCCAGCTGATCACGGCACGTCCGCCGCCGCAGCCTGACGCCGGCACACTAGACGACTGCCGCCGCCGCCGCCGCTGCCGTACTCGGTCCGTCCGCCGGCGCCGCGGGCGGCCCGCCGAGGGGACGGCGGCGGCGCGGCGCCGACCGCCTGATCTTCCGCGCCGATCGGCTCGTTCGCTCTCCGGCCGCGGTGACCAGTTCCGTTTGGGGGCACGGGTCAGCTGGTCGCCGGGGGCTGCGTGCGGCCGCGGTCCTGCTGCCGCGCGCCCCGCGTGCCTGCCCGGCTGACGCGCCGGGAGCCCCTCAGCCGGGCCGACTGACCCGGCCGTCCCCTCCCGGCCGCCGGCGGCGCTCAACTTTATCGTAAAACTATCGGCACGGTGGCCGATTGAGACAGCGGCCGTCGGCCGGGCTCTGAAGCACTGGCGGCTGCCATTAGCGGTCTTTGAGCGGCGGCCGGCGCTGTCGGCACCGCCCATGGCCCACCGAACCTGTACTTGGGCGACCGCGGCCGAGATGTTAGTACGGCAAATTCTCCGCAAACAGCGCGGGTCCCAGACTGCTGCCATATCCCACACTGAACTATAGGGGAGTCGAAGGCCAGGCGAGGTTAGATCAGGGGAGGTTTGTCCTAACTTAGGGACTGGTGAATGGGTGCATGGCTTCACTTATGTGTGGCACGTAAATGAATATGAACAAATGATCTTATTATAACTAAGACATCCTCAAAGTCAAATTACCAGGTACCTAATAGCCGTTTTCACGACGAACATCTGGTACACATTTGGTGCACATCTGGTGCAGATCAGGTGCAGATTTGGTCAAATCAGGTTCAGTGCGTCTCTTAGTAGCCGTTTTCACGACGGCCATCTGGTACACATTTGGTGCACATCTGGTACAGATTAGGTGTAGATTTGGTCAAATCAGGTTCAGTGTGTCTCTTAACAGCTATCAGCTAGGGTTGCACTAATTGCTAATATGCCTGCTTTGTCATATTATCAGAGAACATGATCGATTAAAACACTGAAATAAATTCATAAAGGCCGTTTTCACGACGGAACTTTCGCAGAGGAACTTATTTGATACCTAAAAAGTACCTACCCTTAGATGCCTTAACATCCCTCAAACTGAAATATTTTATGTTCAAAATAATTTTAGAAGTTTAAATCTGGGCATTTTTTGCCCTCAAATCACTTATTTATTTACAAACACAGCAATTTTTGGTTCTAGTAGCCCACCTTTCGACTATGAGGTATTAAATCAGCGTGGCAACTTGCTCCCTCTTTACTCCCTCGGGTATCTAATTCCGGAATTCTTAAAAACAAGGAAAGTATGTATCGAGTTCTCTTTTATGCCTATTCAGTTATGTTTTAATGGTGATTAAAATATGACAAATTTTTTAATTACATTTCATATAAGAAAACACGCAAAACAATGAAACAAAAATAACTACGGCAGATAATTACCTTCAGGTATCTAATTCCGACCAATCAGCACCTCAGTAGGATATGACGTCATACAAGAATGGTGGTGAAGGCCGTTTGCAGTCCCGGCCGGTAGGTCACGTGACCGCCGGGCGCCTCGGGTCACGCGGCGGTCGGGAGTCGGACGCGGGGCGTGGTCGCGGGCGGACGCGCGGGGCATCATGCTTTGCTTTGCTTGCTTTGTCAACTTCATATAACTTACTATCGCATTCGTGTGAAAGCCAAACACTGCTCAGTACCCTTAGAAATTGATTTTTGGAAAGCTCAAGTCCCTATAGCTCCTCAGGTCGGCAACAGTTGAAGCCTCATCTGAAACCATGTGAAAAAACGAGGGTAAGGAACCTTGTGTTGCTTTTTCTTTTACCGTCATAATTATCTCAAACAATCACAATTTTGAGTTGCCACATTGTCTGCTTCACTACATTCGTGTAAAACTTGGGTGAAGGCTGGTGGCTCAAAGAAAGGTGAAGATATTTCTTTAAGTGCCTAATCCGTGAAATTGAAATATCCCGGCTTTACAAATCTACACTTTTCATTTTCTCCACGATACATTTTTTAAAATTGTTTAAATTTTATCTACATTTGTTAAAATCGGGGCTTTGGTTTTTGTAAACTAGATCATAAAGTTTACTATAGTTTTGTGTAACCTGATGGCTGAAGAAAATAGTAATTTTGCTAAAATGATGTGCGGAAATTTGTTGCTTTCCAAATCAAATTACTCATACCTATATTTCATTCAAAATTAGGAGGCATTATAACTGTTTTTTCTTGTAACATGAACTGAGTTTGGGTACGGTGCTCCGGAAACGTTGTGGAACTTTAAGCTAGCTAGAGCAGTTTTCATAAAAATTGTTTAGATAGTTGACATGGCTTGTTGACAACTCTTTTGCTGTTTCTAAAAAAGTGAAAAAAATATTTTCCTGCATTAAGCACACAAGGCATGTTATTCTCATAAGCTATCGAATGTGTGTGTGTGTGTGTTTTTAAGCTGTTTTTTAAGCTTTTAAGCTGTAACTTCAGTTACTTCACTTTAGAACATATTGCCCAGAATGCGTCACTGATCATGAGCTGGTATATCATATCATATGTAGCAAATACATAAATGAGAATAGTGTGTCATGAATTTTTGTGCATGCTTCTGGATCATCTGTAATTACATCAAAGGCTCGGCTCAAGAGTGTCCTGCCGACCAGCTTATGCCCAACCCTTTCTGTCCGCAGAACGTCGCCTGCGACTCCCGCACGCCGTTTGCCCCGGCCGTCCGTACTGGTCTTCGCGCTGCGAGCCGCGCTGGAGTTCGCGGCGGCGTCGTGGAGCTCCCATCGGGACGGCGTGTGATGCCCGCGTCGAGCTTATAAGCCGTGAGCTTCGATTGGCGGCTCACGCGGTCACCAGCTGTATGTACAGCCTCGGCCCCGACGACCCCGCTAATGGCCGAGACCGGCATACCCCCGGCATGGGTCCGCTGTCCGGCGCAGCGCTGGCCGCCCGCATGCTATGCTACTTTTGGCTGTATCGCTGCCCAGCGGGAGCGCGCTCCACGCTGCGGAAGACGTACACGTTGCGACCCGACTGAGGACTGCAACCGGATGGTGACACGTCGGCCTCTGCGCCCTGGCCGGGGCAGGCGTGACCGACGTCACAGTGGAGGAACGCCCAAACAAGACCAGCCCACCGTCGGAGCAGCATGGAAATATCATGTTCTGCCTGGACGTCGGACCCGGCGGCCGCAGTGCACCTGCACACGTGTGGAGAGGGGCGCTGGAGGCTACTCTGGAGCTTCTGCCATTCCGCGGCGCGACTGCTGGCAAAACGGCGGCGATTGAGGCGGTTGGGAACAGCTGCAGCAATGGTGATGGCGGTGATGGCGACATGGCGGTTTGGGACTTCATCTCAGCGCGGCCGCCGCCCAGGCGCCGCTGCGCCCGGCTGCTCAGCCACCTACCGGATGGCGGGGTGGCCCTTACGGCCCTCACGCCCGTTCGGTCTGCGGCCACGTTGTGGGGTGGCGGTCGCGGGGTTAGCGGCGTTGGACTTCGTCCTTTATCCAGACTGCACCGTACCATCTGAACGGATGGATCTGCCAAGAAAGATGACATCCAAGGCGGCTATGAGGCGATCACAAAGCTTCACCAAGAGCTTCTCCTTCATGGGGCCGGCCGGCCGTTAAGTCGCAGCACCGGCTGCCGAGTGCCAACAGCTGCGTGCGCTGGCGCCGACGCGTTGTGGGCCGCGCTGCTGACGCCCAAGCTGCGATATCAACCATCTATGAATAAGTGGCAGCGGTGGCGGCTTGTCAGTTGTTAACGTGCCTTAACAGACGTTGCGAATAGCCCGCGTTGGAATCGCATGGTTGGGAACACAACGCAAGTAAAAATGGGCTTCCTTGATGAACCTACTTTTTAAGCATTGTAGCCTTTGTAATTTTGGATGTTTTGCTGTAGATATTATTTTCTACATATATACTATATAGGCACTCGCGTGCTTTAAATCGCGCAATGGAATTGAACCATGGTAAAGACAATAATAAATGAACTGAGAGCTGACATGCCCTATGCTTTGTGTGTGTATATGTGTGTGTGTGTGTGTTTTTTTTTTTTGGCGAGTCGATAAAAGTGGTTTTGGACACCGGATGAGTTTTTAGGGGTGTGGTGAGGGGGGATGTAATTCCACAGACATTCTGTCAGATTCACTAATGCAGTAGGTCTGTGCGGTGTTTAGTTATCGGAGCATTCTTTGAAAGTCGTGAATAGGGCCACCGAGTACCTAAAGCCGTGATATTCCCCCACAAAAACTTCTTTTAAATAACCGGGGATAGGTACATGAGCAGAGTAAATGCTATTACGAACGCCTATCACAATGCTGAGCGAATAGGAAAATCCATAGATGGAGAATTGTGCCGCGTTACGGGTGCTCGGGCGCACCCAATCCACCGTTACCCCAGCGGTGACCTTGACCCGCATCGTCTGTCTCGGCTCCAAAGCCAAACCGGCGTGGAATTGGGAGCGTTCGAGCACTCATGGTCCAGCGCAATTCTCCACCTAAATCCATTCCTGATACACATTTGCTTGCTCATAGTCATGTAACCCCGGTAAATTCACCCAACTTTCATATTGGTCGCTCCATAGACAGATGGCCACAGAGATCAACTTAAAAGGCCATTGTTGCATTCATTTAGTGGAGATCATTAAAGAGCCGTGACAGGCCACAAGTCGCGTGACATCATACGTGTAACGACCAATGACGACGGCCTGCAAAACCCAATGGAAGCGGCTAGCAGCGTGCAATAAAACAGGGCGCTGCTTTCTAAATGTCTGTCGTGCGCCATAAATGAATATATTCTTTGTAGCCTGGCAACTCAGTATCTTTTTTTAACTATTGTACTAGTATTTAATAATTTCATAATTTTATAATTGTGCTTACGCTTTATGTTGATATTAGTGATAAATCCTTAGATAAAGTAAATCGATGTGATATTTAATAGAAAAATAGCAAACTAACGCACCATTCATTCGAAAGCTGGGGAACCTACTAAAAAGAACTACTAAAATTCCTGAGGAACCA